ATCCGTGGTTCAGGATGTAAGAAAGCAAGAGCTGATGAAGGCAGCCACGAAGAAGGAAATGATGCCGAATATGATTGCCGTTATTACGACCAACTCGAACGACTCGTCGCCGAACAACACGCGCATTCTTGATAATTCCAAAGTTGGGAAATCGGTGGATCGACCAGCGGCAAGGACGAGCGAGGAATTTTCCAATATCGTATCGCGGGCGGCTTCCACCTCTGCAAGCGTAGAAAATCGATCGAGTTTCCGATTCCGTGATCGGATCGATAATTCGAAGGAATCGACGTCTAACGAGTCCCCCGATCGTCCCAAGTTCAATGTTGGAGAAAATTCCGAAATTCCGAATACACCGCCTCGCTACAACCCCGTCGTCCCTCCGGAGTTATCTTCCAACGAGCTTCTAAACTATCATAATTCCGACGAATTCTCAGAATCGCTTCCCAAAGGGAAGGAGACGAGTGCGGTCGATAGTGGGATTGCGCCCGATTTCCCATTCAAGAGAACGATCGTCGGAGCGTTGAGAAGAAGAAGGTTACCGACGCACAACACGGACCAGGCGTCGACGAACAAATCGGACGATATATCGCGACCACGATTTCGACGCGGGAAAGCAAAACGAGCGATTCGAATGTAATTAAATTCGATCGGCGAGATAATATATTTCCTTTCAAATATCGCAATTTCACGTAAGAACTGGAGGATCGCCGCTGCCGATTTTGAGAAACAACTCGTTTTTAGAGAATGCTCCCAATTCCGATTCCTCGGACAATTCCATCATTTGAGTGGCAGCTGCTCGAACTGCTTTCGAATTACCACGATTTTCGCGATTATATTAAACAGCCGCCAACTATTTACGTGTTTCGCTCGTTTTTCGATCGATCTTCGTGCACGAAACTTTTGTTCGCGAAAATTTTGTGGAAAATACAAATCGATGCCTTAGATTCCCCTCTCTTCCGGATTAACCCGAGGAATCGAGTATCCCGAGTTTAATTTTTTTTTCCTTTTCTTTTTTTTTTTTTTTTTTTT